CCAAAAACAAATTAATAATTTCTGGAAACATCGTCATAACAGAAATGTATTCTAACTATAAACATTTAGGTGTTAATGTGCTTTTATATTATATTTATATTATATTGTGTTGTATTAAATACTGTATTTTATATTATAGCAGCTTTATAATAGGTGCAAACTGTGAATTCTGAGGTTTTGTTCATAACATCCAAATGATAAGTTCTAGAAGTAAAAGTATAATGCCAGAGTTGTTTGTATGTATAATTAATGTATTCATTAACTATATAAGCTGTAATAACAGCATGTTGTATTTAACCTCATAATGCTCATTCTAAGCTCTGTATGTGTTGCACAGTGTAGACCTTCCCGTTACCTCTTTGTGGTCCTGCTCGTCTCCCAGACGTTTGATCTTGTTGCAGTCGACGGGCAGGTCCCAGCAGTCGGTGTCGCTCAGCTGGTAGCAGCGGCTGCTGAGCAGAGCCTGCCGCTGGGGAGACATCGGCTGCAGCGGGGTTAACACAGTCCCGCTGCCCTCGGGGCCGCCTGGCTGACCAGCCACATCCACCGCCCCGCTGTCATCCAGATCGCCAACTGGACTCTGAAGAGCAAAGGAATCTGAATACTGGTGAGGTATTCAGAGGGCTTATTTTTGTTATGTGATTATTGTTGCTTTTTTTCAAAAAGCTTATTTTATCATTTCTAACAAGTTACAGGAGGAGGTTACAGGCTAGTATACACACAGTCTCGGTCACAGAGGTTTTAAATGTTTTCAGTATTCAAGTCATTCAAAAAGCTGCTGCCAAACCAGAAGACCTGTGCATATCCTTCTCCATACTAAACTCCTGCTCTGCTGGCATCCAGTTACATTTCCTAGACTTGCAGGTTCCTAAATGTGATGCTACTTTTCTACTACTTTTGATTTGTTTCTTTTTTGCACCTTTATTTTTACTATCACTGTACTCTAACTGTTACTATATGCTAGCCTAAATGATTTTATTCTATTTGTATCAACAGTAATGCCCATAATTACTCCTGTGAAATCTTTTACATGAAAGCTCAGGGGTGAAATTTTTATTAAAATTCAGTTTATTGTAGTTGTGATAGAATGTTCCAGATGCATGTTGATTTTACACAATGGGCATAACAATAAAAATACTAATACTTATAATAATTTGTACATGCTGTCCAAAATGATTCATACTCTTCACCTGCCTCAATATTAGGATTATTGTTTCTTTACAGTGTAGGTATTTTAGGTATTTTCAGCAATGTTAGGCAAGAAATCCATGTCGATTTCTAGAAAAGTCCAAAAGCCGAGAAGCTGAGGGGAGCTGGTAAAAATGCTGCCAGTTCATGGGCAGCACTAGAATGTGCTATGAGTAAGAAGTGAGGAGCTCCGGTCACGTATTTTGATTGTTGTCAAGGATGCCATGGACTACAAAGCCATATCCAAATGATTCCAGGTCCCTGTTCCCACAGAGCATCATTAACAAGAACAAGATATTCCACACAGTCAAGAACCTGAAGAGACATCGTAGAAAGCCCAAAGTTACACGCCATCTGGGAAGAAGTGTGTTATGGGAGGCCAGCAGTAACCCACACATCACAACTAAGGCTATTCTACAAAATCTGAGCAACACCAGAACACAGATTTCAAGAAGATACAGCAGCAAACACTATCCAAGGGGACTCTTCATGGACAGTGACCACTCCTCCAACACAGGCACACACAGGCTCATCTAGTTTCTGTAGCTCTGTGACAGACCTACAATTTTGGTTGTCAGTGTTATGGTCAGATGGGAACTCTTCAGCCACAAAGATGTGGCTTTTTTTTTTTGGTGAAAGAAATGTGAAGCATTCACCCAGAAAACACAGTCTCACTGGTCAAACACTGAGGCGGGAATATCACGGTCTGCGGTCACTTTTCCACAGATGGACCCAGATGAACCTTTTAAAAGCTGAAGGAATCATTAAAATCATTCATCCAGCATTCTTGGGCAGCATGGACCATCTAACCAGATTACAGTCCAAAAACATATGGCTTAACTAGTAAAGGAACAATTTGCGGACAACAATCTAAATATTTTGGAGTGGCCAAGCCAGCGCACCGACCTGGACCCGGTTAGAATTTCTGGAGAGAACTAAAGACCAAGATCATGACAAAGAAACCCTCAAACCTTGAGGACCTGGAGAAGTTCACCAAAATCATTGTGGAGACGTGTAGAAATATATTCAACTGCATAAAGTACTTGGAGGCTGTAGCTACAAATAAAGGCATTTATACCACTGGCTATAGAGAAAGAGTATGAATAATTCTGGAGATGAGATTTTTTGGGAAACCAGTCAAATATAATCATACAAATAGTTAAAAATATCAAACATCGATTTGAACGTTCTTCTTATAGCCTTATGTCACCTTTTTTATAAAATGGTGAAAGAATAAATTTGATGTGTCAATAATATATCTTAAAACCCAAAAGTCCGACACAGGTATGAAGAATTTTAGGCAAAATTACATTTAGATATGTCTTCCTAATGCTCCTCTCTGAGTTACGCTCTCTAGACAAAGCTGCCTTGTCTTATTTTTCCCCATTCCTGCCATTGTTTAGGGATGTGATGTAATAAGGCAGGCATCCCATTTTTACTTGCACCGCCTCAGATTACCTGTGTCAGCAGGTCCTGGGGTTTCCCTCCCAGAGCGTGCGGGAGCTCCCGGCACCGTGTCGACAAGTTAAGGATGGCCGTGGCCGCCATGTGGGCCGCCTCCATGTCGTGGGTGTAGTCAAAGCTACTCTTACTGCAGGTGCTGCTGGCGCTGCTTCCACCTCCACCGCCTCCCCCTCCTCCTCCACCTCCTCCTCCTCCACAGCTCAGGCTGCTGCTGCTGCTGGGAGCGTAGCTGCTGGTCGTACTGCTGGCCGGGCTGGACGTCTTACAGTAGCGCTTAGCTGCAGGGGTGCACACAAGTATGGCTGATTTGTTAGGCTGATGCTGGCTTTTGGCCAAGCTGTTCAGCAGATGGGTTTTTTGCACGGGGTTTAAAATTGCAGAGAGATCCTCTAGCTTTTAAAAATATGCAATAAAAAAGACAGACTGGTGAGGAGAAAGAGCGAGAGAAACAGATTGAAATTTAAGGCTTTCTAGGATTAAGTGGGGAAACAATGAATTGACCAGAACAAGAATCCACTCCAAAACTAAAATTCAAACAAGCTCAGTGCTTGAGATTGTTGAAGTTGTTCAACTTTTTTGGTCACTTTGCCAAAATCAGAGCTCGTAAATCAAGATAACATATCTTAAGACTGTTCCTGCCTCAGCCCTGAATTGAAAATGCTTTGGACTGGATGTCTACATCTGATTTTTATTTGGAACAAATTCTAAGAACTGCAGCATTTCCTTCTTTGTGAGTAACATTTGCTAAAAAAAAAAAGAAAAAAAAAGAATACAATGCCCAGCTGTCCCAGAAAATAACTGACCTTTTTTTTAAAAAAGTAACTACTTACAATATTTGTATCTTCAGTACGTAAAAATGGACTCACAGGAACAATAAGCAAAGTATTTAGAGGCCATTTTTGGTCTGTTTAAAGGATTTGCTGCCAGCTAGAAAACATATATGAACACCAGCCTTATGCGTTAAATAGGGAGACATAGAGTCATTCAACATAAGACAGAGAAACAGATGTTTGGGCAAAGCCAAAGAAAGATGCTGCGTGGTGGTGAATCCGGCCTCAGCAGGCTGGAACGATGCTGATGGAGGGAAGAATGGTGGAAAGGAGGGAGGCAGGGAGGGAGTCGTGACAGAGGGGAGCTCAGACACCTCGTCTAAAAATCTCCCTCCTGCCTGCTTCTCACTAATGGCTCCCAGCCAAAGAAACAGGGCTCGCCTCCATTATCTCTCCTGTTTCACAATCCCTCCATCTGTACCTCCTCCCTCCCTCCATCCCTCCATCCTCTGCTCAGAGGAGGCAGGCTCTTAGCTTGGCATTTCCATAACTCTGCTCCAGCCATGTGGAGAGGCCGAAAACATCAGTGTTTTTAGCTCTATAACAAAAAGACAAGCAGCACAGAGCATGTGTCGTTGTGCACGTTATAATGCTTTTAACATCGGATACAAAATGTTCTCCTCAGAACAGGAAAATGAATAGTAATCCCTAAGAGTGGGATCATCTGGAAGGTTTCTTTTTCCTTTCAAACAAACAAAAAAAGGAATCACAATAAGCCTGACCATGGTTTTTACGGTGATTTTCAATATACCTATAATAACATTTTTAGACATATGGATCCATCATTAACTCAAATAAATATCTCCAATATTCTTCAAAAGGTAAGAAGAACGTCAGACCCCGTACAAACAAAAGACGCAAATCACCAATCAAAATATACGATAAATTGTTGTCACATGATCTAAATGTGGGACCTATGATTTGCAATTGTGTATGTTAATTCTTCTCACCGTCGTATCCCTTCGGGGAGGTGTCTCGCCCGTGGTGGTGGGACTTGGTCGTCAGACCTCTCTTTCCGTAGCTGCCGTGTTGGGCATCATAGCCGCCATAGTCATAGCTGGTCTTGGAGTATTTCTCCAGCTCCTTCGCCAAGTTGGATCGTGGCGTGCTGGTGGGAACATTGTTTTTGTAGCCATACTCAGGAATCTCCAGCTGCTTCACAAAACACATTGGTCTGAAAGGCAGCCAGAGGGTAAATAAGGCTGGGATCGAACTTCACTGCACCATTTAGCATCCCTACTTCGGATTAAAAAGTGGATTTTTTTTTTTATATTTGTTTCGTTTTTTCAAAGAACTAATAACAGTCTGTGTTATTTACCTTTACGCCAAAAATTGGCTGCACCATTCAGCATCCCTAAAAAACTTCGAATGGTAATTAGTGGAAGAAGATGGTGAGTTTCTGTTTTGTGGAAGAATATTTAAGCCCAGCTTTTTATTTAGGTGCTAACTGACATCCTTTCAGCTTTCAATACATTCTGTTTAAGAAAGGCAACATATATTCCCAGATTGGCTTACAACTCAGAAATATACCAGGAAATTGTTGAACCATTTTGCATCATCAAATAGAAAACAATGAAGGTTTTCTTTGTTATGGAATATTTTGCAAGTCTCAAGCTTAAAGACACTATTAAGCTTGCCCTGATCATTTAAGGTGGTGTGAGATGCTCTCCATCAAAATAAGTGCAAACTTATGTAGATTTAATATGTAGAGATAAATGAAATCACAAAATACACTAAATCAAGCTGCCATAGATTTGATTTAAGAGTGTTACAACCACTAATAAAAATTTTGTTTGTGTTTGCTAATTATTCACAGGATAGTTTTTGATTCCGGAATTCCCAGCATATCTGAACTAGTCGCACATGTGGTTGAATGTACTAGTGACCTGCACCTAGATATAATGAGGATTACCAGTTGTTCTGCATCCCCAGTTCCTTATGTTTGATATGATCTGGAGCTGTATGTGTGGGAATTTCATTGCACCATTCAACATCCCAGATATAAAAAACCCCAAAGGAAAAACAACTGCTTCCATAACATACCATATTCAGAGTTCAGTGAGCAATTCGGCATCCCTTGCTAACCTATCAGAATTCAAAATATGCTGCTTTACTGTACTGAAGTGGGCGGTACCTGAGGACACGGTCTGACGCCTGATTGGTCTTACTGCCGCTGTCAGTTGAGTGAGTCTTCTCGTGGACCTTCGCCATCTTCTCTGCAGCAGCGATGGGACAGCCGGACAGACTGAAGGATTAGGGAGGGGGAGACAGCACACGGCCTGGTTACACACTGTACCAACACACGCATGCACACATGCAGCATCTGGCTCTCAATGAAGAGCGGTTCAGCTGTCAGGACCAGCAGTTCAAAATGAATTATGGATTTAAAAATGGCCTACTTTGTGTTGACTTTCCAGATGACAAACTGGTTTATCACTTGACTTTCTGTGTGACTTTTTTCTAAACAGGTATTGCTTAAATTTACAGACAGACATGTTTGTGACTCCTGCTTCTGTACATCACTCAAACTGCAAAATCCTAGGCTGAAAATGAAGCCAGTGCAAAACTGACATTCAGCTAATGTCCACCTGAGGCTGGCTCAAAAAGTTAGTCACTAGTCCACTCCCACATCAATGTACAAATTCAGCCATGCAAGCAGAATGTTTACAGCTTCATATAAGAACAGGCCTCTTGCCTGTGGTTGTGCTGTTGGTACCTGTTAAATAAGTTGTAGTTTGGAAATGGCAAGAAAATAAATTGTCCTGTTTTATTGGGTTGTTATTTATCTATGTCTATGCATTCTTTGATGTCCTCGCTCCAAAAACATCAACATAGTGATGCCCAAAACAATAATGTGAGGCTAGTAAAAGTGGAGACTAGAAACTAAGTGAGGGTATGTAAATGACCAGGTGACAGCATTTTGTATCTCTTTATTGTCCTCCCAATTCACATATTTGCAAAACTGACTAAACAACTATTCATCAAAGATGATTAGCTGACAGAACAGCAGCACAGATTTGGCATATTTTTCCTTCACACATCACTGGCAAAACCTCTAACCTCTAACCATTTTAATGGAGATAGACAGAATATCAAAAATACAGAAAAACACATTCATACAAGTTATGAATTGTTTTGCATGCAAAGCTCCAAACCGAGCGTAACTGATGATCTTTCTTTTATCAACCAATTCAGACTCCCTCGCAGCCTTAATGAAATGTTCCAAAACGGGCCTTTGTCTTTATTTCGTTGGTCACTCTATGTCAGGCTCTTTAAAGTTTAAGATAAGATAAGATAAGATAACCTTTATTAGTCCTACACGTGGGAAATTTGTTTCGTTACAGTGTTTGTATCTGGATCTGGATCTACTCCCGTGACTCTTTATACAGCAACTGAATACTTGGTTGAATAAGTGACTAAATTAATAGTTCTTAGCGGATGCCTCTTTACTAACAACACACACACACACACACACAGAGTATTCTCCAGTTTTTTGGGAGAGTTTGGTTATCTGTCCCACAAGACACTTCCACTTAACAAAACTGTCACTTCCCACCAACTCCCAGTGATAAGTGTTAAAAGGTAACACCTTCTCCGTTTTTAATCATGAAATTTGTTTTTCTTCCGTAACCAAGTGTAACCTCACAGGAAGCAGAAACACAAATCTAATCCTGCTCATCGGCCGCTGCAGTGATTGACTGATTGTGTGATAGATTAGATTACATTCATTAAACAGCTGCTTTTGGTCTTCTGGGGAAAATAATTAAATGTCATCAACAATCATAAGTGAATTTCTTTAAAAACAAATTAAAATTGCAATAAACAGAAGAAGATTTTTGATGTCGGACGGAAAATTCCATCCTGTGTACTTCTGAGATGTACCAGTCATTAAAATGTGTGACTTGCTGACCCTCATGTGGCGCAAACAGGGGTAAAGGAGAAGCTGATTGGTTGGGGATGTGGCTTCTCCCTCCTGCCACTTTGGGCTTTTCCTAATTGCTTCATACCCACAGAGGCTATGAAACATCGTTAGTACACACACACACACACACACACACACACACACACACTCGTTTTAAAGCATGGCAGGGTTACTGTGTGAGTAGTGTGTGACAGATCAGCACGGCAGTGCCCGCTACTGCTGCTGCTATGAAGGCGTTTCCATGGTGACTGCCAGACATGAAAGCTGGTGGCTAACAGTAGCTAAGCTAGCTAGCTAGTGCTTTGTTTCCTTTCCCAGTGGAGCTGTGCTACATAACACACCCTGCAGCCATGTCTGAGTGTGTATGTGTGTGTGTGAGTGTATTCTGTCTGCCAGCACACGTGTGCTGCTGTCTGTGAGCTAATTTGTAAGTGTCTGACTGTGTGTGTGTGTGTCAGGCTGTGTGCGAATGAAACAGCGTGTCATCTAAAGGTCTACGTATGTGTGAGCAAATCACTTTACATAATTCAAAAGTATGTATCTGTGTGTGTGTGTGTGTGTGTGTGTGTGTGTGTGTG